TAAAAAACCACCAAAAAAAAAAAAAAACAGTCGTGGATCATCCAAGTAACCACACACAGTATTAAGAACAAAGGGTTCCCAAACTTTTGAAGGGTGTTATTTGAATAATTTCAGCTATTTTTTTGTCTTGTGGACTATATGTAAATATCTTTAATGTAAAATATCTTACTTAGGACAGTACTAACTAAAAAAAATAACGTGCATTTTGTATGATCTCTCTTATTTTGTTAAAATTATTCACATTATCACAGATGATCCTTCAGAAATCATTCTAATATGGTGATCTGCTGATCAATAAAAATGTCTTATTATTGTCAGTGTTGAAAATGTCTTATTGTCAATGTTGAAAACAAAGTTGAAAGTTGTGCTTTTAATAAAAACATGCTTTTTTTTAGGATTCTTTGATGAATAGAAAGTTTAATAGGATTTATGTTGAAATGCAAATTTTTTGTAACATTATAAATGCCTTTACAGTCACTTTTAATCAATTGAATGCATCCTTGCTGAATAAAGCTCAATTCTTTCAACAATTATACTGTTTCTCCTTTTTCAATCTATAGTGGACTAAGTATACTACAAGTACCGTAGTATTGACATGTATGACATTATCACTGCACTATGGTACTGAAAGAGTACTTGTTTGTTTGTAAGGAATAAGAAAAAGGCAGAAAAGACTGCTAAAGAGAGAAAGAAGAGATAGGAAGCCTTAAAGAGGATTGAAGACTAAGCAAACAAAAGCAGAAGAAAGAAGTGTTCATGATTAAGTCCTCTTTCCCATAAGAACGCATTCGACATGGGGTTATTCACAGCCAAGCATTCCCTCCTCCACCTCTCAACAGAAGTCATCTCACTAATGGAGGGGACGTGAGATGCAGATGCTTCAGAACATCAGTCAGACATTAACATGACTTTCCTTTTTGTCTTCACAGCTCTTTCTCTCTCTCCTTCTTCATTTCTTTCACCCACATCTCTTTCTTTCTGGCCTGGGCTCTTTGTGCACCTCTAATTGATCTTGAGGAGTGAGTCTTTGTGCCAAACCTGCAATTACAGGAGGGACCTGATAAAGGAGCCCAGGAGAAGTTGAGGCTCTTTTCTCTGCCTTTTTGGACAAAACGCCCTCATCTAATCAACTTGCTCTGGTCCGCCGAACATGCAACATGTGTCTGCTCACTGGATAATGCCAATGAATGTATTAATTAACAATTAATCAGGAACATATTATTCAGTGTTATCAGAAAAGCCTAAAGTGTCATTTGAACAATGGTAGTTTAATACAAAATGACAATAAAAAAGACTGTAATTAATGCTAGATGGCAACATGAAATCAAAATGTACCCAATCTGCTTGTCTTACTGTGCACGCTTCATCAGTCCATGTTATCATAATGAAAAAATTAAAAATACAAAATGTTTTTAAGCTCATTACGCTGTCACAATAAGTAATGGCTGAGCTCATGAATATTAACTGGATCATGCAGATGCTGCTACATAACTGGCCTGCCCACTCAGGTAATTTAATGAATATTCATGAGTTAGCTCTATTCGAAGTTTTGCTTTATATGCACCTCTTGCCAATGCAGCATCGAGCTACTTTATATTTTACATGGCCTTTAACATTTTAAAACAAATGTATTCTAACACAAATCTCCAAGGTATATTGAAATGAAGATAAAGTCTATAGTATTTGTTGTTTTATGAGTCAAAACTGTAAAGTCAAGAATTTAACATCACAAATAAAATGTGAAAAACTGATGCAAGCAAGAACGTGTATCTAGTGAAAGATATAATGTACACTACTGGTCAAAAGTTTGAAATAATTAAGATTTTTAAAATATTTTTGAAAGAAGGCAATAATAACTCACCAAGGCTGCATTTATTTGATTAAAAATACAATAAAAACAGTAACATTGTTAAAAAAAAAAAGCAATTTAAAAAGAACCGTTTTATTTATGTTTTATTTTAATATCCTGTGATCGCAGAGAGGAATTACTCATGACATTAATACATTTATTGCATCTAGCCATTTATAATGTTACAAAAGATTTCTACTTTTTTTAAACGTTCTATTCATTAAAGAATCCTGAAAAAAAATTCACGGTTTCTACAAAAACATTAGGCAGCAAAAACTCTTTTCAAAACTGATGAAAATTCAGCTTGTCATCACAGGGATAAATTACATATTAAAAAATATTCAAATAGAAAAGTTCTTTTAAATTATAATTTTTCACAATATTACAGTTTTTACTGCATTTTATCATCAAACAATTACAACCTTTAACTGATCATATACAGTAATATTAATTACCAAACAACACTGAATATTCCGTTATATTTTGTATTCTGACATACATCACATTACACAAGGTAAATGCATTGTGAATGCACAAGGTTTAGGCCCTTTCTAAGGATTTGTTCTGAGGTAAAACAGCACATTTTTTACTAAACAATTGATCTGCATGTCTCTCTTTGATCTATCATTAAATTTGCATACATTGGTGTGTGAAGGAAGCAGGGCAGGTCACAAGAGATAGTTTAAGCATGGCTTAACCTTGAAAACACATACATCATGGCTCAGTTTCTCTCTGTGTGTTACGCTGGCCTCATTGACACACTTCCCGTGACGTGGGTGAATGCCACCTTTCCTGCTCGCCCCGACCCTGACCTTGCTGTGAAAAACGCCTGAGGAAATAAAGACCAAAAAAAAAAATCTGGAACTGTGAAATAAGAACAGATGGAAAATAACCTGGAGGAAAACTGTGCTCGTCAAGCAAGCTCGTCGACATTCAGTAATTTTTTTTCTTACAAAATGTACAAATATGTATAAGAAAAATTGTGTCAAAATCTGTAAAAGGTGTTTTATATGTTGCCTTTAAGGGGCTGATGATCCAAAATGCCCATCAATAATGTTTGGCAACATCACTGATTCAAAACGAACAGAAGCAAATGACATGCAAGCGTGCATAATGGTTCACCGCACGCCATTTCCTCTCTCGGATTGCACCTGTCACCTGACAACTATTCCCCTTTATCCAATAAAACCCACCTTGTGGAAACGGATCCATGTCAAAACGCCATGCATGAGAGATGGAGCGGCAGATAGACGGAGGCAGATGTAAAGGACAAAGAAATGAGCAAGGAGATATATAAAAAGGAAGTCTGAGAAAGGACATGCAGAAGGGACACTAAAGTAAATCAGTGGAAGGAAACTCTTCAAAAGAATATTAATGAATGACAGGAATACGAGCAGTGCACACCTTTTTGCCATTTTAACAAGAAAAAAAAAATGTATGAGCAGCGTGGTCTTCAAGGACGTGCTACCCATAACCTCTCAAGCGTTTGAAAAATGATTTGAAGATCAGCTATCATTCATGGAAGTCTGCATTCTTCCTGGAAACCACGTAATGGGAGGTGACATAGGGGTGTAAAAAGGCATCAATTATGGAATTTAATAATCAATTATAATTACCAAAATTAAAGTATACTAAATAAAAATAACAAGTGGACAATTACCCATAACATACAGCAAAAACAACCCAGGAGTCATTCAAGTATGCATTCTAATATTAATTAGGTGGTATAATGATTATTTCCCAAAAAAGTTGGGGAACAGCAAACTTAGAAATTAGCAACAACAATTACTACACCCCTACTTCATTACAGGCGAATTGTGTAGTCAGCACATTTTAAAAATAATTATGAAGTGCACTAAGGTAACTGACGTGACATGACGTGACGTGACGTGTGACATGTGGCCAAGTATGGTGACCCATACTCGGAATTAGTGCTCTGCATTTACCCATCCAAAGTGCACACACACAGCAGTGAACACACACCATGAACACACACCCGGAGCAGTGGGCAGCCATTTATGCTGCGGCGCCCGGGGAGCAGTTGGGGGTTCGGTGCCTTGCTCAAGGGCACCTCAGTCGTGGTATTGAAGGTGGGAGAGAGCGCTGTACATTCACTCCCCCCACCTACAATCCCTGCCGGTACGAGACTCGAACCCACAACCTTTGGGTTATGAGTCCGACTCTCTAACCGTTAGGCCACGACTTCCCCCTAACTGAATTGAAAAACAAATTCTAAGCACAATTAATTACACTCCCACTAGAGGTTCAAGTTCTGGGCTAGTAACCAAAAGTTTGTGGGTTCAAACACTCAGCTGATCCATGAACCAGCACCACTGTTCTTGATCAAGACACTTAACCCCAGGCCACTTTGAATAAAATCGCCAGATAAATGACAAATTTGACATAGAAGCACATTTTCGGACATGTTTTGGCTGGTGTTGGTGCAGCAGTACCTGGTAGGTGTCCCACAGGCGAATGGTACAGCGCAGCGGCAGCTCCCTCATCAGCAGATTATTCATCCAGCGGAAAGCAAACTGCAGATACTCCACCTCACACTTCTGAAAGTGCACGTGGACATCCTCTGTGGGCGTAAAGAAGAAAGCACAGGGGGGTTATATCCATTTGCTGGTAGTTTCGGCAAAGTGCTGCACTGGGAGTAGCTTTTGTAAACCATGTATGGACCCCCATTGTTTAAAGAAACACTCTGGCCCTGAACTAAGATCACCAGCTATTGTTGAATTCTTCCCACACCTGTTTCACTGAATTAACATTATAGACCCCTAACGTGTGTGTAATTATATTCGATTGAATGGAGAGAGAGAGAGAGAGAGAGAGAGAGAGAGAGAGAGAGATAAGGTTGGGGTGGAAAGGAAAAGTAGGCCTGGTGCTTAGCTCATTGAGAGAGGGATTTTTCTGATAAGCTCTCGTTCAGTCTTTGAACGGAATAAGAATGACTTTCAAAAGCGGCTGTATTGACTAGACTCCTGATAGATATTGATGGAGAAAATGTGACGGGTTTCTGAAAGTACTGAGAACTAAAGTCGGACCTATCAGAAGGAAAATGTAAACTCTTACTGCCACGAATAAAAGCAAAAATAACATTTCAAAAAAAGGTTTTAATAATGAACAATCTTCGAGATGTTACATAAGGGTTGCATCATAATGGATTCAACTAATGGAGTGAGTCATTGGTGTGAGGATTGAACATTATCACAAATTCACTTCTTTCACAATCCCACTTCTTTAAAAAAACAAAACAAAAGGTTTTGCTCATAATGATTCCGATTCCAGCAAACAAAATGAAAGTATAAAATATTTGCAACCAACTTCTTGTGCCATAACATTGAAACCATTGTCATTTTCTGGAAAATATCTTACTTTTTTTTGTTTTTTGGTCCTCCGAGAACAAGAAAAAAAAAAAAGACTAAACTTTCCAGATAAACTTAAAAAAATTTTTTAAGAGCTATCACAAATTGAGGCATTGTACTCGTACTTTGTTTATACATTTAGTTAATACATATTTAAATTCCAATATTTTGTATTGGTTTGAATAAGCCCTAATGCTACTTTATTCACAACTGTTTTAATAATAATAATAAAATAAAAAAAGACATTTGCAAAGTGAATACGTGCAATAAATATAAGAAAAACAACGTTTCGGACAGCATCTCAATTATTTTAGTCTTTATAATGGTTCATAAATTAATGCATAAAAATAGTATTAGTTCTTGAGCAGCAAATCAGCATATCAGAATGATTTCTGAAGGATCACGTGACACTGAAGACTGGAGTAATGATGCTGAAAATTCAGCTTTGCATAATAGCATATAAAATATATTAAAATAGTTGATAAAAACACTTGCCATTTTATTAAAATAGTTGTCATAATATTTCACAATATTACCGTTTTTATTGTATTCTTCATCAAATAAATTCAGCCTTAGCAAGCATAAGAGACTTCATTCATTCAAAAGAAATAATTTTTACAAAAAGTGTATAATTTTGCACTTATTTGTATGCTTTATTAAAATAACTAATAGCTGTCAAACACATTCAATACCAGCCTTAAGGACTGCTAAATATACTCTGTAACATGTTATGTAACATAATTTATCACATGTTAAACAGGGAAGGCGAACAGTTAACATCGATTCAAAACCAGTGCGTTATAATTCACACATGACTACTTATCCACAGCTAAGCTTATTTATCAAGTTGAACGCTGGTCATTTTACTCATTCCAACGTTTAATTAAAAGCACCATTTGGTACATCTACAAGATACTCGCTAGTGTATTTTCCTGACTAGTCTTCTGAAAGTGCGATTTGTTTTCCCTTCACTCCATTCATCTCTCCTCTCAACTCACTTCCATTTGCCTTCACACCCTAATCGCAGGGGCTTATGGGGAATTGATTTCTCTCCTGTGCTCCCCGGCGAGACTGTGGGGTCTGCTATTGCTCACGGTGCTGGTTGATGCTGATGGATGGGAAAGAGGCGCGCGGCGGCTCTCATCGAGAGTTTCAGAGTGGGCTGTTCAGCTTATCACACCAATCACTCCGAACAGGGGAGGAGGCGTCCAGATGGTATAAACACTCTCAAAGAAAAAAAAAAACAGAGGCGGACTAGTGGCATAATGGAAACGTGCGATTCCAAGACACAGAAACGGCCAACGCCATGGGAAAACAAGTCTTTTCCGAGGCGACAAACATGATCGCACCCTGGCAGAAAAACAGCTCCTTGTTGTTTTGAACACTTTGCACTGCTATTTATGGTTCGATACAACTAGTGCACATCATTCTGGAGGGCAAAGGGCAAAAAAGATAGGACCATTTGAGGGCCTCCAGACTTTGCCATTTCGTACTGCCAGTCATGATGTGTTATTTGTGCTAAAGCTTCTGAGGGTGTTAAAAAAAAAAAACCTGACGTGTCGCAAAAAGCAGCTATTCATAGAAACCTGTCAAAACTTTTATGCTCCTCAAAAGAACAACAGCTACAACAAGTGAAAAAGAAATAAATATATCTACGAGTACAGCTTTGTTGAAATGTCAAAAACAAAGTGCAAAAACTGATTTCTTTTAAGTAGCTTCAAAGGTAACTTGCTTGGTGACCAGGACCAACTACCCCAAACATTTGAAATATCAGTTTCACTTAAATATTACAATTTTGTAAACATTTACTCATTCTGATGTCGTTGCAAATTGTTTGAATGATCAAATGAGAAATTTGAAAGAATGTTTACGCTGCTCTTTTGTCACAATGAAAGCATACAGCGACCAGGGTCTGTTCAATTCCAAAACACAATTTAATTTGAAAATGTTCATTTTTATGAAACTTATATTTATTCAACTTAATTTTGTTTTTCAGTATATAGCGGTTCTGAGATTTTTTTTTATAATGAACAAGAGGAAGCAAATTATCAAAATTCTTATTTTTACACAAACAATTACTTTAATTCCATGAAGCGTGAAAGGAATTGATGTGTTTGTCAACATGATCTTACCATCTATTCTGCTAACGAGCTCTTCCAGCGCCTTCACTTTAATCTGAATCCCAGGCTGGGCAAATGTGTAGTTGTCCTGATAGAGAAAAACAAAGGCAGAATTTAGAACATGGATAATTATTCTGTCAACTCACTAAGGCTCTTTCACAGGACTTATATAAGAGCTTCAATTGCTCAATATAAGCATCGTGTGCCACTTTGACCTACATGACATGAAAAGCTCTGCAATCAGTGTTATGGAAGGACAATTTTTATTCTACGTGGTAATTGTTAAAACTAAACATGTAAAAATGCTTTTAAGAGACCTCAAATAAACAATAAGTGTTATCATTTATAGACTGCTTACAAAAAAATAGTTGGCTGTGTGTTGAAAGGTTTAAAAGAAGCAGAGTTGAAAAATAAAATACAATAAAATAAAAATTAAATTAAATATAAAATAATAAAATAAAATAAATAGTTAAAGAAAAAGAAGAAAATAAAAGAAGAAAAAGAAAACAGTAATGACAAGGGTTAGGATTTATTAACTGCTTGTGCAAAAATGTAAATAAAATAAAAAGTAAGAGAAAACAGTAACAACAAATGTAAAAAATAAAATAAAAAATAAAATAAATAAAATAAAGAGAAAACAATACCAACAATGGTAAAGTAAAATAAAATTGAAAACATAAAAAGAAGAAAGAGAAAACTAACAACAATGGTAAAATAAAATAAAGAAAGAAAACAGTAACAACAATGGTAAAGTAAAATAAATTGAAAAAAAAAAAAAAGAAGGAAAACAGTAACAACAATGGTAAAATAATAAATAAAATAATAATAAATAAAATAAAATGAAATAAAAAGCAAGTTACTGACACCTCTGATGCATGGCTTGGTACCAGGTGATTAACTGTAGGAACTGTGGGCACAATATCGTCACATTTATCGTTATTTTGTAACTAATGTTGTTCCGTCTCTCTATCTCTGTTCCTCATCCCTTGTGGGTCATTAAGGGCCAGTGGCCGTCTGCGGCTCGTGTGTTAGCCCAGGGGGACGACTGCATAGGAAGACACATTCTGTGTTCTGCCCTTCAGCTCGGCTCCACTCAGCCAATGAGCACATCACAGAGCGGCCCACGGGACAACCTGACTGCGGCCTGCATCTGACCCTTGCTCCCGCCTGCAGATGAGTGCGCTCACACGCTCGCCTCACTCTAACAGAGGGCCGTTCTCAAGGGAACACAGCCAAAGATCTGAATCCCCCTAGCTTAAACGTCCTAGCTTCAAGTTCCTCTCTAAGTTTTTATGTCTCTCTCCCCTAGGCGGGTAAGTGTCTTATCCTCTAGGGCTTAAGCACAACAAAGTCAGTGCCTTTTTTCAGTCTTTCAGAAAGTCTTTTTTTTTATTGCATTGGATTCAACTTGTCTCTGGCTTTTGGAAAAGAACAAAAGGACAGGATGACCACTACAGGGTTTAGTTTTAATAAAAAGACACTGAAGAGATACTGTCCTCAGGGAACTGCAGATGGACCAAGAAGGTCTATAATGCCTGGAGAAAGCTATTACCGTTACTGTCTTAATGGCAGTAGCTCTGCTGGTGCATAATGTATTTTAATTGAATTTTGTGACGTATGGGATAATTATTATTAAGAAATAAAGAAGAGAAATAAAAATAAGGAATAAGATGATGATGACACAAATCAAATGAAATTAAAATTTGAAAATTATTTAAAATTTATAAGAAATATTAGTAACAGTATACCAACAAAAAATATTTTTTCGAAAAATTATTTTGAATACTATTATTATTATTATTATGAGGAGGAGGAGGAAAAACAAGAGGAAGAAAAAAAGAATTTGGCTTCCATTAAATAAAAGAAGGGATAAGAATAAGAAAGTAAGATAAGAAAAACACAGACATGAATGACATGAATGAAATTAAATCTAAGTATAAATGTATTTATATATTTATATATGTTCATAGTAGGACATTATATAAATATTAACAGTAGCAATAAAAAGATTATGATGATGATGAAGAAAAGAATACTTTTTCTCCTTTGAATAAAATAAAATAACAGTAACAACAATAAAAAAGATTACTATTATTATTATTATTAGAAATGTTATAGAAATAAAAAGGAATAAGAAGATAAAAAGAAATAAGAAAAACGATGATGGCATGAATAAAATGTATTATACATTTGTTTATATATGAATTTTTAAATTCCATAAAATATTCAGAGTAACAATACATAGATAATTATTTTGATAAAGAGGAAGAAAAAGAAACAATGACAAGAGTGAAATTAAATAGTTAGGATTGATAAACTGCTTGTGCAAACTAAAATAAAATAGTATAAAATATAAAAATATATATAAAAAAAAATGAAATAAAAAATAAAATAAAATAATTAGAACGAATGGCTACTTTTGAATGGAAATCACTGGAGAACGATGGTTAAGACATCTCCCATCTAACCAGTCAAACCTCAAGTGGAACAAATACCTGTATCCCATCCAGCAATTTGCTCATGCACCAAAAGCTGTCGGCTTCAATGTTTCGTTGCGTATCCAGAGGCAAGCTTGCCATTTCGAAATTTTCCACGTCTTCCTCTAAGGAAAAGAAGACACACAAAACACACACACATTCATGTTCGGTCACCAGCAGACCAAACCAACACACATGCTACAGGTGTTCTTAGCAGTCTGTGTTTTCTTGCAGGCGACAGCAGCTCTGGTGTGTGACACGCATCGTATGCACAGACACCACGAAGCCATTAGATCATTAGCCGGCAAACTGCATTCTTTATTCAACACATTCATCAACTCACTTCCTCGCCCCTCTCCCTCCCACCGCAGGCTTCCCCTCGCAGCCATGACCTTTCCCGACTCTTTAAACAGTATGTGCTAAATGATGCTGATACACACATTATGCCCCAGAGAGCCAGACCTGGCTGGAAGAGACTTCTGTGTGCCACTCCACTCACCCACCGCACAACTAATGTAGTCCTCCATCTCTTGATCTCTCTCTCTTGCTCTTTTCTTAATAAGGATGGAGGGATTGGGGAGGGGAAGGAAGGACAAGGAGCTATTTTGATGAAGCACTGAGTAAAGAGAAAGAGAGAGAGAGCGCTCTATGCATGTTTGCATGCAGCTTGCGCATCGCCAAAGCAATTCAGTCAATCACGCGACTGTTACTGCGGTACATGAGAGCTGAAATATAGATAGGAAAGAAGGTCAGATCCAAGGTCGAAGACACAATGAAGAATACATGCTCTCGAACGATCGTAGATACTCAACTGAAGACCATGTTGACAATCTCTGCTGAGGTCTGTGGTTAGAGACAAAATCAAACTGACTGTAAACAGTAAACTACTAGGCGCATAAACCTACGTACTCTACCTTTCAAAAGTTTGGGGTTAGTACGTTTTTTTTCCCCAATAAATTAATACTTTTATTTTGCAAGGATGCATTCAATTGATCAAAAGTGACAATAAAGACATTTGTTTCTTAATGTTTCAAAAGATTTCTATTTGAAATAAATGCTGTTCTTTTCATCAAAGAATCCTGAAAACAATGCATCATGGTTTGCACAAAAATATTAGGCTGTATTAATATTAAGTTAAATAAAATATTAAACCGTTTTCAACATTGATTAGAATAAGAAATGTTTCTTGAGCAGTAAATCAGCATATTAAAATTAGGGATGCACCGATCCCACTTTTTCCAGTACTCGCCCGATACCGATACTTTTATTTTTGGTACTTGCCGATACCGAGTACCGATACCGATATTTTTATGGTTCTGTTGTTGGTGTTTCTTTGTTTGAATATGGCGTTGATCACATGCTGTGTGGTATCGGCGTTTGCAGGAGACCAGTATCGGGCCCGATAGGGTGCATCCCTAATTAAAATGATTTCTGAAGGATCGCGTGACACTGAAGACAGAATGACTCCTGAAAAATCAGTTTTGAATCACAGGAATAACATTTGAAATATATTAAATAGAAAAATGTTATTTTCAATTATAATAATACTTTACAATATTACTGATTTACTGTATTTTTGATCAAATAAATACAGCCTTCATAAGCATAAGAAACTTTCAAAAACATCTTATAAATATTATCCAATACCTTTGAATGGTAGCATACTTTCTTCTGAAAACCCCCAAAAGCAAGTCATACAGGTTTGGAATGACATGAAGGTGAGTAAATGTTGACTGAATTTTGATTTTTGAGTGAGCTCAAAGTGAACTTTGAGTGATCTTTTTTTATGTAAGTGTGTAATTACACCAAATGAAACTGCATAAGTGCAAAAATAAAAGACCCCTTATGTTTGTTGATCATGTGCACATTTTTATGCCTTGCAAACTAATGCATTTGGTTTTCTGTGATAAACATTTAGCTGATTAAAATGTCATCAAGAAAACATTATCTAGCTAGATAACAAAGATGACAATGGAAATTAAAAATAAATTGTTGCAACCAGTTTTAATATCCAAAAACACCTTGAATATATTTAAAAAAACGAATTATTATAAAAATCAAACATATTATTTATGACAAAAATATGCTGTAAAAAAACAGCTTTTTTTTCTTAAATTAGAATTTAATCATGGAGTCTGTTAATTAAGAAAACCTTCAATTAATCAAGTCACAGAATAACAGTTTTTATAAACAATTTACAGAGAAATTTGTATTTACTGAATGTGGCCCACATATGTGAATCAGACTGGTAGCAGGTAAAAACCGGCAAAACCTCTCTGCTCAAACTCTGAGCAAACTGTCAGTAAACCTCTGCATTGCAGCAGGAAGAACAGCTGATGTGGGGCCGAGTGAGAGCCCGGATGGGATTCAAGTAAAAAAAGACGGATGGAGAACGACAGGAAAGAGCTGGCAGGGGGGAAAAAACTGGAAAAGGAAAGTAAATAGCCCTCTTTGACCACAAATGAAGCATGCAGTGCCCTGCCGGTCATGGGCCGGGCCATATGTCACTGGCCGCAGCACTGGAGAGATTCCTGATCCATTTAGCTCTCCACATTTCCACATCACTCCAAAGCTTTGGACACACACACACACACACACACACACACAGAGTTGCTGCATAAAGCGGCTTTACAGAATGCAGGAGAAATCCTGTTTGTGGCACAAAGAGAGGCTTTGCCACCCTGTTCTCTGACCCCGTGGAGAAAAAGGGGATTATTGTGCCGTGTGCGAGTATAAGCGACCTGAGAGATCATTCAATAATCACGAGTCAAGTCTGCAACTCGTGAAACAAATCACTGTTCATTCAGGTCGTTCCTCCATGTCTCAGGTTGAGCATTAAATGATGCATATTATAGAGCTCAAACTCTAAAAGCGGATTGGATGAGCCATGTTCAAAGCCGTTTATAAAATATGCCGACAGGCGCACACCTGGTGACCGCACATCAATTGAATTCTTTATGAAAGTAATAGTTCACCCAAAATCCATGATTTTCTCATTCCAAACTCATACGATGACTTCTGTGGAAAACAACAAGAGTAATTTGTGTTGAACAGGTTGCTATGTTGCATACAACTGCAATAAACAGGGACTGGAGCTTTCAAACTTAAAAAAATTAGGTTAATATGACTCATGCAACTTTATTTCAAATCTTTCAAGCCATATAACATTTTTGTTTGGGCAAATAGACCATAATAAACAAAATGAATCTTGGCATTCACCCTAGCTCTACTTGGCATGTTCATTAGGAGAAGTAGCCATTCGTAACCAATTAGATTGATGAATCAGATGATTCAGTTCACAAAACTGGTCTGAGCAAAGCCCAACGTATACTTCGTATTTTGTTGTTGTTGTTCCGTCTCTTTAATTTTGTTTTCTACTATGAACCATCAGTCCGGGGCCAGCGTTGTGGTACAACTGATTAGTGAAAGTGCAAAACCAAGTCAATGCGCATGTGCGACCGCGCGTACAAAGTACGCAATCGGATGGGTGCATGTGCAGTATACTATTCTGGTGATGAAATTTGGGTTAGGCACACTGTACGTGGACCCTCGCGTATGCGTAATAACCAAAGTGTACTTTGGCCTTAAGTCTTCAACAAATCACAAATTCAAACCAATCTGGTTCTTGTGCTCAACCCACTGATTTAATGATCCGGTCACAACCACTGGAGGAGAAGATTTTCATTGAATAACATAAATTTAAAACTCAAAAAGCTATCAGATAACTTGGAATATAGTGCACAAGCCGTATGGACTAATTTTATGGTGCTTTTTTTTCCAAACTTAAAGGTCCCCTGAAGTGCCTTATTTTATGTGGTGACGTCATTTCAACTGAAACAGGAAGAGAGGGCGGGACATATCGAGCTACATAGAGGTTTCCTGTCGGCTCAGTTTTTGAGTGGACATTGCTGTTCCGATGAGCATGAACGGTATATGAGTTAATCATGCTGAGGCTGTGTAGTTGCAAAAGTGTTTAAAGGGGTCATATGATGCGATTTCAATTTTTCCTTTCTCTTTGGAGTGTTACAAGCTCTTGGTGCATAGAAAGAAGGCGTAGCTTTTATTCTCGCTGTAGTATTGTTGTTGCCGCCGCTGCCATGTCGTGAAGGCGCTGTGCGATTCCTTATGAAAGTGAAACTACTTTGTTTGGCCTTCCAAAAGAAAACGATATCTGCTTCGTCATGCCTAGAGCTGATCCGTGCTGGTGGCTGAGGAAATACTACAACTTTGTGCTGTGAATCACCGGATCGGCTTTCACCGGGGACGAAGCGGAGTCCAGCTCGGGGTCGTCACATGTGGTTGCTGCAAGCCTGCCGGACCCTCCTTCGTCGAATCCGCCGCCTCTGCTCACTCTAGCCCTCCGGCCGTTCATGATCCGCTCCGTGCCATCGCGTCTCTGGACCAGAGCCAAAGTCCGGATCAGACTGTGTGTGCTGCCGCGGTTTGCATGAAACAATGTGAAACCAGACCTCATTTGAACCAATCGAAAGCATATTTACACTGTCTGAATCGTTCCCTATCACCTACATTGTGCACTTCGAGCCATTCACTGTACATGAAAATGCTACACTGTGAACAAGCGACCGATCTCAGCCACTTCAGCGTCTATTTATAGTGCAGGGGGCGGGCGCTTCAGATTCTAGAGAGCATTTGATTGGTCAGAAGATTTGATGAGAAGATGAAGTACGATGTGACGTCAAAAAAATCGTTGAGCCGTTTTGGCGTAAGTGACGAACTGCAAGCTTTGAATGCTTTTATCTTATAAATGCGAATTTTGTCAGTGTTTTGGAGCACACTGCCTTATAGATAACCTTAAGACTAACATATTGATACTAACACCCAAAAAAACTTTAATTTTGATTTCATGGGGACTTTAAAGCTCCAGTTGCCAACTGTATGGAAAAGAGTGCCAGATTGATTCTTCACTGATTCATTCAACAACTGATTCATTCTTTTTCACACATGACACGTCAGTCATACAGATTTGGATTGACATGTGATTTTACCCTCGTGTCATGTTGCTCAGATTAAACTCTAATGGCCATTGCACACAGAGTCCGAATTTTTCGTCCGAAATTTTTGCACGTTGAAAAAATAAATACAACCTCGCGTTGTGCCAATCACGTTTACACACTGCCTCCGAAACTTTCGTCCGTCATAAAAAAATTCGGATCGGCTTCGATTTTCTGCATTTTTCACATCCGTAGCAAGCATTTTGAGAGGTGTTTTGACAATTCAGAGCCACTGTACAAGCGAATGGCAAAATACAGAATGGCGATTGTCAAGTTCATCCACTTCGTCTCGCAGCACAAAGCACTGTAAAGATCCTTGCACACGGAGTTCACAGAAATTGGTGGTCTTCTTTTTAATATGTGGCTCTAGTATCGCTAGCAAAGCATCAAACTGAGCCACTGACATCCTGAAGTAAACTTTGAATCGCCCGGGATAATCCCGATGCTCTTTAATAAGGAGGGGGAACTCTCCTTCCTCTCTATCCACCTTTTTCTTCAACGCGGAAGTAAGCCTATGGGTGAGAATTCTGGACCATTAACCGCTATAGGTAAATAACGAGGAGAATAACAACGTGCAGTAAACGATAAAACTGTTTGCACTACAAACCAGTGTGTTCATAAATAAGATAATACATTAAAATAATATGATAAGACACACCAATTTTCAATATCAAGCAGCAAAACGAACTGTTTTGTACAGCTAAAAATAGCTGGATGCAGACGAGACCGGAAGCCAGACCCATAGAATTTACAAATGGCTGCGCCCATTTTTACGACAAGAAAAAGGTGGATATCTCGGGATTGGATGGACCCAATATTTCCTTTCTTTTTCTCTTTTTAAGAAACGAGAAGAACAAAATCATCCTCACTGCTTGAAGACTCAATTTAGTACTGTTTTGCGAATTTTTTCGCAACAGATTAATTAATATGCATCGGACTCAGTGTGTGTAAGGTTTCTGTGCGTGACGAATTTTTAGGATGACGAATACGAAAAAACACATACGAAAATTTCGGACTCCGTGTGCAAGGATCAAGAATCAGCAAATTCAGTTCACAAAGCTGCTCTGAATGAGTCATTCACAAAATCACAAATTCAAACCAAACTTGGTCTTGAGGTTTTAAGCTTAATTCACTGATTTAATGGTCCAGTCGCAACAACTAAAGGAGAAGATTTTCAGTTGATACCTTTGAAATTTCAACCTCACAAAGCTATTAAATGACTTGGAATATAGTGCACAAGTGGTATGGACTACCTCTATGGTGCTTTTTGCAATATTACAAAGCTCCAGCCGCCAATTCCATGGAAAAGAGTGAAGATTCATTTTTCACTGACTCATTCAGCGACTGATTCGTTCTTCTCATACAGGTTTGGATTGACATGTGAGTGAGTAAATTACATATTCATTTTTGAATGAACAATTCCTTTAAATAGTCATGTCGCTTGACAACTATAAAAAACCTAGTTTATAAAACAAACTATATTACGGTTATTTTTTGAATATTTTCCATTTTTGTTGAACATTTTCAAGCCACAAAAGCGGTGCATTTGTGATTTTACCCTCTTGCGGCTTATTGTTCAACAACACCACCACCAAACCACAAACTTGTTTCACCCAGACCATTTATCTAATACTAAAACTGCACCTCGAAGGCGCAAATAACAGTCCATAAAACCAGGAAGGCAATAAATAACAAGGTGAGAATATCACACACCCTCTTCAGTAATAAAAAAAAAACAAAGTGTGTGTGTGAGGGAGAATTGAGAGACGGAGACAGGGCATTGATGCTTTACAGAGGAGATTTCCCCGCTGTCCTCTTTGTCTGTCAGGGTAAATGTGATGATTTACCCTTTGAGAATATTCCCTCTCTCTCGGCCACGTCTCTCTCTCCACTTCAAATTCTTCGGCGCATCAATACCAACACTTAAAACCGAAGGGCGCCGTGACTCTCCTTCCTGCCGGCTACTCTTTAAAACGCTACTCGCTGATATTGAGCTAAATGCGAAGCGCCAATACCCTCCTACGCCGTCTCTCTCGGAGGACAGTCTCAGCAGAAAGTTAAAAAGCTCGCAGAGGAGCCCTAGAAAGCCAGTGAGGCGTGCTGGCCAAGAGAAACAGCGCAGCGAAAGTTGGCAAAACGCTGCATATGAGAGCAGGCGAAGCCGTTACAGCCTGCGTTCGCCCTGCGGCCTCGACGACGGGGGTGAAACCCGCATCAGAGGGAGGGCGCTAACCTCGCTCTTTTATCTCCCACTGGCAGCGTGTTGGGATCATGAAGTTCGTTCAGATTTATCGATTGGCGGGTCGAGCCCCCCACCCTGGATCATGAAGTTCGTTCAGATGTATCGATCGGTGGGTCGAGCCCCCCACCGTGTGCTCGGCACCTTCGCAAGCCTCTGTAAACACTTAAATCCAGCCGATCAATGTGGCTCATTCAACCTGCGGCATTGAGTCGCTCGCTCACACACGCGGTGAATCCCAAATGCACACACACACATTCACACAGCCAGCAAACAAATTAGAGATAGAAAGGCCCTGCAGATTGACACGAAGGCGCCGGTATGAAAAATCTGCTTTTCACTAAATGAGCTTTGTGGAGAAACAGAGGGATGAGGAAAAGACAGAGAGCGCGCTGGGCGACAGTCAGAGAGAGAGAGAGAGAGACAGACGTGGGAGAAAAAGATAAATCGATTGGTGATCCAGGTAATCTGTGGGTATGTCCCGGTGTTTGCACTGGTGACATTGCAGCAGCGGCACACCGGAGAGATCAATGAGCCTCCTATTGTTCTTCTGTAATCCTTAACTATCCATAAGTAATTAACCTTCACATGAGAGGACAGGAAATAAATAAGAAGGGAGGGGAAGTCTGCAGGGTGGAGGGAGAATAGCAATGAGGACGAGAACTGGAGAGTCTATTTCCCTCCCTGTCTGTCTCTCTTTTTCTGTCTTCATCTCTTCCTCCATCCAACCATCCATCTATTGATAGACAGACAGATAGAATGATAGAGCGATAGATGGACAAAACAAGTGACAGAACAATTGATAAGAGCAGACAGCACGACAGATAGAACAATATAAAGAACAAAAAGATTAACAGAGTGCTAAAACGATAGACAGAAAGAATGATAGAAAGATAAAGCGAATGATAGAAAGATAGATGTAATTATAGAGAGAACGATATGAGAGAGATAGAGAGAACAATATAACAACAGACAGACAGACATAGATAGAGAACAATATAACGATACAGAAAGAACAATATAACGAGACGGACAGACAGATAGATAGACATATAGACAGATGGTTTGTAGACTTAGACAAAGAATGACAGAACGATAGATAGAACGATCGACAGATAGAACGATCGGTAGATAGAACAATCGGTAGATAGATAGATAGATAGATAGATAGATATATATATATAGATAGATAGATAGATAGACAGGCAGACCACAAAAACAATAAAATGAACGATAGATATAAGGGTAGAAAGGATGATAGATAGATAGATAGATAGATAGATAGGTAGATAGGTAGATAGATAGGTAGATAGATAGATAGAAAGACAGACAGACAGAACGATAAATAGAACGATAGACAAATGGATGTAACAATCTCTGTCTCCCTCTCTCCCCATCTGTCTCTCTCTCTGACCGTCTGCCTGTCTTCTTCCCATCTCCCTTTGTTTCTGTCGGTCACTCTTTCCATCTGTCTCCCTTTCACCATTTGTCTCTTTCTCGGTCTCTCGGTCTCTCACTCTCTCACTGTCTATCTTTCAGAGTTTCTTTCAAAGATAATTAATATTCTGTATTTTTGTGTCTGACATTTTCACAGGATATTGTCAGTTTGTTTACATTTACACAACCATTTTCCAACATCATCTGTCAGATACTGGCCCGTCTGCATCTCTCGGACTCTGCTGGCATATCACACACGTCAATGCGCTATTAGCGGAGCAAACACAACTGATGTGCTCAACCAAAAGAACACATTCAGAAAGGTGAAAAATCGGTCAAACGGACCAACTGATCCAAGTGGAAGGTTATTACACACTTACCCACGAATTCAGAGAGGAAGACCACAAAAAAGGGAGTGACCAGATCATTAATGCCCTGCACGTATCCACTAGCGGGGTGACGGATGGCCCAGATGAACAGAATCCGCTCGAACACCTGAAAAACAAGACAATACCTCTTAATGATTCATTTCTCATAACAAGTGTGATTGTTGTGCAAACCTTTGGCAATTGATGTTGCTTAATTCACTCTTGACAGACCAACAAGTCCACTCATTCGGATACTTGTATTTCCAAATGCAGCTGCATTTCAAGTGCTGTTCCTTTTGGTTTCTGGTTTACAAGTGTTGCACACTCCTCTAGAAGTTACAAACACCACAGCACCCCCTGCTGGTAAGCATCCAATGACACAAAGCTCAGTTAAACCAAAGCATGCTGGCAACATCTATCCAGAACATCATCAGCAAAATTACAGACAACATTTTTCAGTGGTGAAAGGTTTTTGATTGCCTTTTTTATCAACAGAACAAAAAGACAAAAATGAGACAAAAGACAATGAAACAAAAATGATCAGGACAATAATTAAATTTGAATTAAAACACGCTGTTGACAAATATGAGGAGGAAAAAAAAACATTTTAGCTGAAAGAACTGAACTATGGTAAACTAAACTGCTTCAACAGGTTGATTTATAAAATAAAATAAAAAATTTAATGTTAATATTTGAATACAATAAAATGTTAGTTTTGTTACCTAAAATTATTATTTTAATAGGTAAAATGAAATAAAATACTATATAAGACAAAAACTATAACTAAAAACAAAACAAAAACAAAACTATGACTATAAAGAAAAATATGTAAAAAATAAACACTGATAAGGAATAGTAAGCTCTTTCTTGAGTGAATCTCATGAAAACTTTCAAGAATATTTCCTGGTCATACTTCACCCCAAAACAAAAGAAAGACAAATTATGTTTTGCATCAAATCATTTACATGAGAACTGGAAGAAAAATGTGCTTCAGCGTCATTGTTTAAATGCACTGCAACAATGAACTTTTACTGCATTACAGTAATTGTGCATAGTCATTTATGCTCGTTTTAAAAAAAACACACCACATTACAGTAATTAGAATCTATTGACAATCACCACTGAGAAAAATGAAAATGGAAACTCAAAACATCTCTGTTGCATAATGATAATGATTTTTGGGGCAAAATGGGCTTGTCTCTAAAAGCAAAAACTATGAATAGTAAGTTCTTTTCTTAAGTGAATCTCATGAAATATTTCAAGAATATGTCTTGATCATATTTCATCCCAAAGTAAAAAGACAAATTATATTTTATATTTTAAATTATATTTCCTCAATCACAACTGGGAAAAAAACCAAATGAATTTCAAAATGAAAAATGAATGCATAATGGTAGTGATAATTTGTGACAAAATTTGTTTGTCTTGCAAACTACTGTCACAATGCAAATAATGATAATAATAATAATAATTAAAGATATATAATAAAATAAATAATATAATAATACTATTATATGAATAATATGAATATAATAATATAATATTTAATATTAATAATAAAATATTATTTTATAATATAAAATAATAGTCCTAAAATTCAGCTTTTTTATTTTCTTTTGATTTCAGGGCATAAAGTGACCTGGACATGACTCTGTGTGATTCACTCTCTTATCTTTATGATTACATTAAGTGTGTAATGCCTGCTGTGTGAGATCAGACGTCTGTATGACGCTGGTGGGTCTGTCACAGGTGCGCTGTGCAGCGAGACTCAGGTGTTGCTGCCTCAGACGATCACCTACCTCCTGCACCAGCGGCTGCTGGAACAAAGGAATCAAAGGGTTCGTCCTCGGGATATCGATGTGAATCTATGGAGAGACACACACACAGATGTATACAGGTAAGCTCAAATGCACACCCACACAAACACAAACCAGCCAGGAACACAGGTGACCAGGGAAAAAAATAAGAGATTAAATCAATATGGCCCAAAAGCATTAAATTGAGTTACATGTGCCTTTTCCCTTCCAGTAAATGGAGGAAACCCATCAGGGCCCAAACTGCACACGCTATCGATCTGGTTTCGTAACAAGCTACACACAAAACCTGCATGAATTCACTTGGAAAGCGGACAGTGCAGCGTCCAGCCGCACATACAGGTGGCGACCCTTCTGTTTCATCCGGTTCTCTCTTAGTTTCTTCCCTCTCTCCATTTCTACTTCCATCATATGTTTGACGAAATGGCTTTGTAGTAATGCAGGTCACTCGAAGGCCACCAAAGTGCGGTTTGCTCGTATTCACCGCCATTCCTCGCCCTCTCAGACTGTGACCACACTAAAAGGTCATTTAGTGTTTCTGCCCAGACAGCCAGGGGCCAGTCCAACGGTTCTGTACGACCATATAAATCCTTTTAAAGGTCTGTGTCCGATTTGTATTGCAGTAGACGAAATGAGGGGCTGGGAGCCAGCAAGCCCTGAGGAACCGGACAAGAGAGGAGAGAAGGCAGCGCATAGCAATCGACTACCAGTCCTGCACCATTAACCTGAGTTTTACAGCCCATAAGAATATTGATCCCGGCCCCCTTCGTCCCCACATTAATAACACGCAGGACAAAATCTGGGTGTATTACTACTATAGCTTTCTAGAAGCAGGTGTAACCTTGACTGACTCACTGCAGAGATGATGAGGTTCCTCAACGGATTGGCGTCTGGTGTAGCCTAGTGGTTAAAAAGATGGTTCACCCAAAAAATCATCTTTTAAAAAAAAAAAGTTTCAAAGAAAAGATGCAAATGTCTTGTGCACTACGAGTCTTCTGAGGTCATACGATGAGGTTAGTGTGAGGAGCAGACTGAAATTTACAACGGTACTCACTGATAATCTCTGCAAATGTATCACTGACTCACTTGAACTACAGAATCGGATTAGTTCCACTCATGAAAGAATCATCCTCTAGGATGAAATCTATGCAAGTGTTATACACAAGGCCCCTGGGCTAAAGGTTGTCGGTTCAAACTCCACAAGGATTGATTTGTGAATTTTAACCATTGCTCCTCTGAGTAAAACACTTAACCTCAGGTTGCTCCAGAGGGATTGTTCTTAATGGGTTGAAGTGTCTGCTAAATCCCAAATCAGAAGTAATTAGCAGTAGATATGTGATAATCTCAACTACTGTTTAAAAGATTTTTTCTTCTGTAATGAAATTAATACTTTTATTTAGCATGGATGCATTAAATTGAACAAAAGTGACATTTATAATGTTACAAAAGATTTCTAATTAAAATAAATGCTGTTCTTTTGCACTTTCTACTATTCAAAGAATCAAAAAAAGTACCACAAAAATATTAAGCAGCACAACTGTTTTCAACATTGATAATAAAAAATATTTCTTGAGCAGCAAATCAGCATATTGGAATGATTTCTAAAGGATCATGTAACACTGAAGATTGTAGTAATGTCTGCTGAAAATTCAGCATTGCATCACAGGACTAAATGACCTTTTAAAATATATTCATATAGAAAAGAGTTATATATCACAGTATTTTTGACCAATTAAATGTAGCCTTGGTGAGCATAAGATTTTTACCGACCCCAAATTGAAGTTTTTTTCAGGGTTTTTCCCAAATCAATCAGTCTGTCTTAAAGAAGCCCTGTCAATTTAAGCATGTTTACTGTCATGTTCTCAAAACTCAAATTAGATGTGTTTTGAGGGATGTATGAACACTAAATGCAGCCCTTTAACAGCAAAATGGACAGATATTCAACAAATAATATTTGGAATTTAAAAAAATAATATCTCTAATCTTGCAAACGATCTTATGAGATCCTTTTCCACTGAAATTCCCCCATGCGTTATCTGGATTCCTGCCATTACAGACAACAGGTTTGCATATTATGATGTTTTCCAACTAACTCAACCTGGATTTAAACAAATATTCTGAGTTGCTTTCAACATAATGTCTATGGATGGCATGCGTGACATGCTGTCCATTAGAACAGACAATGTTCTTTTTCTGTTTACACGCTGTCTGTAATATTGGACACCATGATATGGTACATCGACCCTAGATATAATAATGTACACAATAAACTCCAAAGTGTTTCAGCAAAACATTTCCTAAAACATCCTTACCTAACATTAAGATTTCAAAACAAAACATTTACATCATTGAACACTTTGAACATTTAAACGTTTTTGAAAGAACTGTAATGAAACAGTTAAATATTTGGATATTTGTGACCCTGGACCACAAAACCAGTCTTAAGTCGCTGGGGTATATTTGTAGCAATTGCCAAAAATACATTGTATGGGTCAAAATTATTGAATTTTCTTTTATGCCAAAAATCATTAGGATATTAAGTAAAGATCATGTTCCATGAAGGTATTTTGTAAATTTCCTACTGTAAATATATCAAAACTTAATTTTTGATTAGTAATATGCATTGCTAAGAACTTCATTTGGACAACTTTAAAGGAGAATTTCTCAATATTTTGATTTTTTTTGCACCCTCAGATTCCAGATTTTCAAATAGTTGTATCTCGGCCAAATATTGTCATATCATAACAAACCATACATCAATGGAAAGCTTATTTATTTATAAATCTCAATTTGAAAAATTGACCCTTATGACTGGTTTTGTGGTCCAGGGTCACATTTGTGGACTGATAAAGGTGCTCTCTTACTCCTGGAAATTGTGTAGAATCAGAATCAGGTTCAGAAAGGAAGTGGTCAATTTTAGCCAACTCTTCCCCTTTTTTGAGAACATACTCAGAAGCAGGCTGGGATTTACCTGTCTGTATGTATCTTTGTGATTCTCATCTGTTCTGGAGTGGTAATACTGTTCGATGAAGCCAAAATACTCCTCCCTCTTCCTCTGGAGAACCAGATCCCTTCGTTCTCTATTGGCTGGAAGATAGCCCTGAGAGAAAGCACATGGAAAGAAGAAAATGCTAATTTAATAGTGTTCAGAACAGAACTGTTGTACACCCACTTTCTCCATTTCTTCCAAGTGTATCTTGCCCTGTAACCAAAATGTAACCTATAAATAATGCAAACTAAAAGATATTAAAAACAGCAGTATGTAAATTCAGTTCAATACTATAGTCCCATGAAAGAAAAAAATGTTGTAAAAAAATAAGCTTTTGATCTTTTTTTTTTTTAATCTACAGATTGTATCATTTCAATGAGACAACCTTCTTTATCATGCTGAAGTCAGATGTTTAGTGAATGCCTTTCAGAATACGATCTGACTGATTTTATGCTACTGGCTTTTTTTGTGCTGCTCATACAAATGGCACTTTTCAAAAGGCTTCTTATAAGAGAAGCAAATCAGACAAGTTGCATTTCATTTAAGTTCTTAGCAAATGCTTTCCTTCTAAAGTGCCTTAATGAAAAATAAAGTTCATAAAGTGCATTATCATTTAGATGCTAGGGTGGGTCAGAGGTGTCCGGATGGTTTTTAAAGCATTGCTAGTTCTGGGTAGTTGCTTAATGCTTGTGCTTATTTGATCAAAATACAATAAATCATATATAATAATATTGTGAAATATTATTATAATGTAAAATATCTATTTTCTAGTTTAATGTATTTTAAAATGTAATTTATTCCTGTGATGCAAAGCTGAATTTTCAGCATCATTATTCCAGTATTCAGTGTCACATAATTCTTCAGAAATCATTCTTATATGCTGATTTGCTGCTCATTTCTCATTACTGTCAATGTTGAATAAGGTTTCGCTGCTTAATATTTTTGTGGAAACGGTGATAATGTATTTTAGGATTCTTTGATGAATAGAAAGTTCAGAAGAACTTTTGTAACAATGTATCTTGAAATCTTTAGTTTTTTAAAAATTGTCATTATTATCACTTTTGATCCATTTATTGAACTGTAGCATTGGGTTTTTCTACTTCAATCAAGTCTATGGGTTTTTTGCCTATTATATTGTCCACTAGGGCAAAACTTTGCCTGTTATATTGTCCACCGAGAAAACTTTGTAATTCAGACTGCATAGAGTAATTGCTTCAATAATAGTATAGTATGAATAATGGTATGAGCAATAACAATAGTGATGCTTGCCTTAGCAAACACCACTAACTAAGAAACACACTTGAAAATACAGAACACAAGCCTCTGATCTCAAAAATCAAGAAAAAAAATCCACAACTCTGGGAGAAACTTCTAATCATGTAGCTACTAAACTAACATGCAGACAGGATGCAATTGTGCTAGTACATACTTACTAGCTACAGATGATTCCCTAAAGAGCAGACAACAAGTGCAGGCTATTTGTAGAGCAGACGTGGAGGCGTGGAACTGTCAGTTAGATCGTTGTCATGACTCTCCATCATGTTTCAGAAAATGGTGTTTTTAAAAGTGCCTTCCCCACCCGTTGTTTCTCAACTCTTGTTTTAATGAGCACACACAGAGTTGCAGTGTGCTTGAACACATAAATGATAACGTACATTCAGAATCCGACTCGATGCAGCTCACGTCTGTTGCTTCAGGGCGAATAAGAAGTGCACAAACTCCGCTCGTTTTGGATTCGCCCCATCATCGGCCCTTCAAAACTTTAATAACGGCTATTAAATTCCATGCTGAAAATCGAAATGATCTTAAAACGGCTTTCCAATGGGATTCCGAGAAGGTCTTGGCAAGGTTTGTGTGCTGTAAATCAAGGATCGAAGTTGGAAACGTTTACATTTGGCGCCATAACACAAACGTGATGTGAACCAACAAAAACAAAACGCAACTGTTGCTCTTTACAATCACAATTTGAATACGAAAAGCCGAGACAAAATGTTTTGTTTTGTTTTTTGTCACATTAGCATTCGTTTAGCATGCATCTACCTCGGTAATTTTATACATATGGAATTATTCCGTTTAATCCCCCTAGCAAACAATGCATGAAGCAGTAAAAGCTTGGAGGAGCTGGGTCGGGGTGGGGATTTGCTTGTACAGCTTAGCTCAGAGGTGTGTGTTATTGACTGTGTAAGCATGCGCCAGAAATGCAAATGAGGCTTGTAAAGCATTCTCCGAACATCCGCACACATACAGCCACAACACAGCGGCCTGCTCAACCCCTCGGATGATGACAGTCACAATTCTGCTGACATTAAGTGCTCAGCAAAACCAATATTGCAAAACAAATCAATAACGCACATTAAACTGAAAGTGGCGTGGAAGTTTTATACTCTCTGAAAATGACTGTGCACCCTATGCAGAACTAAACTGCTAGCATGTTGTTATGCTGGCTTACAGTAAATAAATAAAAAAAAGATTTTTCCTTGATTAATTATTGTTTATTACGACATTTTTGTATTATTAATTATATTGAATATCCATTTGGCTGCATTTCAGTTAAGTAATTTCAAGAAGTAGCTCAAAATATTTTTAACAAACCCAACACAATTAATTAATTTTCTTAAATAAAACAGATCAATTAAAGATATATTAATAATTATTGTAGTAGAAGGCATTGAAACGAAGGCCTAGTGGTTAGTGCATGTGTCCACGACAACAACGTGAGCTCAAATACATCTCACAACATATTTCAGTCCTTTTCTTCCCTCTCTTCCACATCTTTTCTTGACATCTCACTGCTGTTTGTTTGAATAGCATGCCAAAATGGACATGAAATAAACAGTAGTGGTAAATACTTACCGATAAGAGTCTCCAGGTGACTGGCCGAACTTCACGAGGGATTCCCGACCAACTATGCTTCCGTAACTCCTCTGTATGAACAAAACACAGTGCAAAGTTAATCCAAAATGGCAAATACTTCAGCAGTACAACTGCTGTGTTGTTTTATAGCTACAGAGGTGAACAGCTGCTTTGATGACAGATCATACTGCAGTTTGGACGTGAAACTACAATGTAAAAATAAAGCTGCAGGAGCAGAATGCTGGAATTAAAGTATATATTGACCAATCAGCAGTTAAAACATGCATTAAGAGTTTGTTCATATGCGGTGATAGAAAATCATGCTTTAAATCAACAGTCGTCTGCCTTCACAGGACTGGTGACACTAACTTATAGCTCAATCAACATAATCAATAAACAATTATTTTTAATTAGCAAACACACTCAGAGTTTTCACAACCATGCCACCTTGAATTATGGTAACTCCAATAAGACAGCGAGCCATAACTGCACATTGATTTTAAAGTAATGGCTGGGAAGTTGACGATTCACAGGTGATGGAGCAATGGCTTGGGATGTCAGCATGATGTCTGGAGAGCACATTTAGGCAAACAGCTTAAAAAGCATCGGTGTTGTGGCCTGCTATCATGTTTTCCATACGGCTCATGTGAACTATGCTAGTTTGAGCTTGGCTTTCCTTATTTCACAATTCATTTTTTTTCTGAATGCGCCATAAAAATTATTTTCTTAATCAGTAGCCTATTTGTCTTGTTTTCCAGTAAAATATCTAAACATCCTTACAAGAAAATACATTTACTTAAAAAGGAAAATTGCATATCAAGATTTGTTTTCAGAGAAAATATCCTGAAATAAGTTTACATTTCTTATCACACTAGCTGTTTCTTGTTTGAATTATAAATCTCAAATTACGATAGATTTATGCTTAAAACAAGAGAACATATTTGCCAATGGGTAAGAAAAAGAAACTTAATTCAAGACATATTATTAAGCAGGAGTTCAATAATATATATGTTTAATAATATATTATGAATTAGGTTTATATCTTACACAGTTTTGCTTCTCAAGTGAATCCTTTTGCTTTAAGTATTTAAGTTTGACTGGAAAACAAGAAACAAATACTGATTAAGAAAATTATTTTGGCAGTTTATTTCCTTATTATGTCTCTGAACAAAAATATATTAATTTAACAAAATGCTGTAAGTGCCCTTTACTTTATTGTTACTTATTATTTTGTTTTAAATATGTTTGACTGGAAAACAAGACACAAATAGTGATTAAGAAAATGATTTTGGCAGTTTATTTTCTTATTATGTCTCTGAATAAAAATAAATTATTTCAACAAAACTTTTAGGAGCTACTGAATTGAAATACTTTGGACAAATGAAAACAGACAATTAAAATGTCACAAAGAAAAACAATTTCCCAGGAACAATTAGCAATTCCACAATAGAGTATGGTCTTTTTTTTTTTTTTTAATGTTACAATTTGATTTCTTCAGAAAATGTGTCCTTGCAACTTACTATGATATGTGTTTCTATGCAGTTGCTAGGGTATTCTGTGTGGTTGCTAGGCGGTTTCATACCAGCACCAAGCCAAAATAGCCCCAAGGCTCCAATCACTTACAAAAGCAGATGTCTCCTTAACACACAAAGTATCAGTAAACAAATCAAGACGAGTTACATGCTAAAGTGCGACTGATCGTAATTATGATTCCTGCCTTTGCAATAACCACAAAAAAAATAAATAAAAGTCTATTGTATTGTACTTTTGAGTTACAATAAAGAGCAAAGATAATTGTTGTCATAACAACCAGATGAATCACAGTGAATTTGAACCATTCTCTCTGTCTGTTCCTTTTAGTTTTTAATCGAATGGAGCTTTTAGACTCCACCGCTCTCAATTACTTATTTTGTCATTGTTATGAAGTAAACATTACAATACAGATGGATGCCATTAGACCAGAAATCATCGATCTGTCCAGGTGCTGAAGTCTAAACCACTTTTTAAGGATTGTTTTTGCGAACTCCCGTCAAGCCCTCTGGGTCATTGTGATCAGCGAATGTAAAAACCGCTTTTCACAACGTCTATGAAAACTTAAAGACTTGCTGAGAAACATCTGGTGAGATCGCTCCTGGGTCGTTTTTGAGTTAGAACAAACACGAAACCGATATCCAAGCGCTCCTAAAATACTAATGGCATTGGACACCTGCCAACCGTCATATGATAGCAGAATGATGAAAGATCTCAGAAGCTATTATGAACTCAGAGTACTGTGCAAGGAAGCCCCTCCAACTATATCATAAGCACATTTTTCATAAGGCGCTGTGGAAGAAGTGCATACGCATTATTTTCCCCTCCAATGACTGATGATTCTCATTCCCCCGTGATTTCAGCCTGTCGCTCAGAAAGCTCAGAGCCTGCGGAGGCTGAAACTTAGTTATAAACCAAAGAAGAGGGAGTCTCTTTGATAGCATCATTATAGCATCAGCGGCACAAATGAGCGCAGGCACGTGCAGAACTTGTTTTTGTTCCGCCAGCTCGCAGGTGCACTCGAAGAGACGATTGGTTGGAGGACGTGGAGAGAACAGAAGGGCCTCTCAGCGTGAACTCAGGAAGACTAGGATAACATCATGGACGGTTTTCATCCATTCTGCCATCCCACACTGTCTCACCTGGCAAAGAGATTCAGCTAGAGTGAATGCAGAAAGCAGGCGAGAGAATGAGGTGTGAACACATGTGAGGGTTTTGCGGCTTTCTGTTTTCAGATGGTCCCTGATGGATGGGCTTTAATATCTTACACAAATAACCCACAAGTGGCCACTTATAATCCCGCTGAAAACGGACCTTATCCCTTGTTTTTCTTTTAATGCTTGCACAAGTCTCTAATTGTTTCATTTAAAGCTTACCCAAGTCTGTGTTGGGACTGGCAAGTAGCTGCTTGAATTTATCCAATCGAGTCTTCTCTCTCACCGTCATGGGCGGAGCTCCAGAGGCATTTTGGTCTGAAATGCGGGCAACCAATGGAATGACGGGCCGCACAGGAAGTGACTGCTGTTTTTGCAGGGTATTGTGAGCTAAACAGGACAAAAACATACAAATATTAAGCATTAATATTAAAATATATTTTGGAAAAATCTTTAAAAAATTACAAATAACATAATATATGTAATTATATGTTAATATATTTTTAATTAAGGTACTATTAAATAAATAAATAAATATTATTTAGCATGGATATATATTATACACACACCCTTTTTTAACAGATTTTTTACATTTGGTTGTTTTAACAAAATATCCTTTAATTCAGTAAATATTAGTCTCTTGTGCTCATCAAGGCTGTATTTATTTGATCAAAATACAGAAAAAAACTGTAATATTGTGAGATATTATTTCAATTTCTAATATTGGCTTTCTGTTTTAATATACTTTAAAATGTAATTTATTCCTGTGATCAAAGCTGAATTTTCAGCATCATTACTCCAGTCTTCAGTGTCACATGATCCTTCAGAAATCATTCTAATATGCTGATTTATTATCAGTGTTGGAAACAGTTGTGCTGCTTCATGTTTTTTTTTGGAAACTGTGATACTTTTTCTGGATTCTTTTATTATATAATATTATATAAAATCTTTTTTATTTACTATCACTTTTTATCAACTTAACACATACTTGCTGAATAAAAGTATTTTGATTACTTTCAAAAAAAGAAAGAAAAATGTACTGACTCCAAACTTTTGAACTTTAGTGTATATTGTAACAAAAGATTTCCATTTTGAATAAATGCTGTTTTTTATTTTTTTTTAATATATATTCATAAAAGAATCCTAAAAAAAGTATCACAGGCTCCAAAAAACATGAAGCAGCACAAATGTTTCCAACATTGATAATTAATCAGCATATTAGAATGATTTCTGAAGGATCATGTGACACTGAAGACTGGAGTAATGATGCTGAAAATACAGCTTTGATCACAGGAATAAATTATATTTTAAAGTATATTAAAATAGAAACTGTTATTTTAAATTGCAATAATATTTCACAAAATAACAGGGTTTTTTCTGTATTTTTGATCAAATAAATACAGCTTTTATGAGCACAAGAAACATCAGTAAAAAATATTAAAAATCTTACTGATCCCAAACTTTTGAACGGTAGTGTGTTTATATTTATTTATATTTATATTTATTTATATACTTTTGTTGACAAGAATGACACTTCCCATGGTCTCATTCATGAAACATGAGCAACACAAATTTTCAATTATGATGAGGATAATAAACTCAAGTTAGCTTTCTTTAAAGGTTAAAGGACATTTATACAACCATACCAGCCATATAACAAACAGTAATTGGGTAATGATGGGACTTTTTAGATTAAAGGTAGGTCGAAAAAACCCACATCTGATTGATGACTTTATATCTTACAAGCTTAAAAACAACAGCTACCAGCATACCTGCATTAACATTCAGCTGGGCGTCGCTACTGGACTTTACCACCCTGCCATTGGCTGGACCGCTTTCTATATCCAGTCGATCTTGATTGGGGTTTGTGCTGATTGGTTCCTGCCGGTCCAGTGTGGGGGGCAGTGGCTCTGTGTCTTCTGGGGTTTTGATGATTTTGAGGCAGGTTGTTTGAGGCATGGATCGTGATTGGACAGGTGAAGATGAGAGCTGTTTAAGACTAAACATACTGTCATCCTCTTCATCATCAATGTCCCATGCATCATTGGTGCTCCGAGCAAATTCGTGGAAAGTGGAAGGTTTTTTGGATTTGGTGTTCACACTGCTGGCCTTTGGAGCATCTTTTAATCTGTAGGGAAACAAATAAAGAGGTTTTTGAAAATGGCAATATTGCACACGCTCTATAACATATGAACTGGTTACAGTTAGAAAGGATAATGCAAGACAAATTAAAAAAAAAAAATCAAAAGTTGCAAAAGGTTTATGCAAATCTTGCACTCAAAACATATTCAGATGGATTCAGACCACAACTGAAAGGCAGAAAACATGAATGAAGAGAAAACAAATGGCTGATTTGCAGGCAGACAGTCGACAGCTAGCAGCAGCACTTACGGACGGTGTCTGCGTGGGTCCAGAGGAGGGTGCTGTGCTCCATATACTGGCTGTAAGCTAAGAGAAAAAAAAGCTGATGTGTGCTTTAAAGAGAATCAGAAACAGGACTGGGTAGGGGTGGGCGATATGACCAAAATCTTATATCACGATACGAGTAATATTACTTCACAGTAACGATCTATATCACAATATTGTTATTTTTGCTTTAAATAAGGTCTTTATGATATAAACATTTTTGAAACCATAGAAATGTCATAATTCTTGTAACAAGTGTCAATATCACAAAAAACTAATAGCCTACTAGCCAAAATTAAAAAACAAAACAAAACAAAACTCAAGCTCACTGAAGACAAGTAAACAGTCAGTGATTAAATAAGAATAAGAAACTAATTACAAGAAATAGGACAAAAAAAAAAAAAACTACAGTAGAAGAAATAAATAAGAAATGCTACATAAATCGTGTAATCAAAAGTATCAAAACACTGCATATTCTTCACGGAGTAAATCTAATATTTATTTCTTCGTTTTTAAGTTACAAAAGTGATTTAGTCAAGCGCAGTGAGAGATTTTCTCTCTTTTGTTTTTCGATTAACATGAATGACAGGAATATTAGAGGTGCCCGATCCAATATATTGTTACGTGTGTGTGTTTCTTTTCTCAGCTGTTTGCTTTCACTTAAAGGCACAATATGTAATTGTCTCCGCTAGAGGGCGCGTATTCAAAATAACCAAATAGACAAAGGCGTAGTTTGATGACGCCGTGACTGAGTGTGGAATCATGGGAGTTGTCGTCTTCATCCCCACAGCCGATGCAATCCGACGGGACTCGGGCAGAAATCATGTTCATGGATGAGCTAATGATTTATTAACGTAGTAGAATGAAGCAGGGTGAGGCTGAAAGCTGTCGAAGCGAAACCAGGCCGCTGAACGAGCGCGACACACGGCTCGAAAGCAGCGGAGCTTTTATTATTCCATTTGGATATTTTAATAAAAAAATCTTACATATTGTGCCTCTAAGACTAGAACACCTCGTAGTGTTTACGAGGATACTTGCAAAGATGGGCATTTTGACACACTAGTGTATGTATTTAACCGTTCAAGGACTATAAATCGGCCTCAGTACTAAATAAATCCGTTCAGTACTCCTGCGCTCTATGAGCACCTTCTTCATGTGTGCCCACATCTCAGACAAAGCGCACATACAGCGAAATGAGTTCTTTCACTGCCGATTGCATTTCAACGGCTTAAAACCTCTTGGTTTTAAACCGCAATGCTTGTGCAAACGATAAGTTTTAGTGACCGCGTAGCACAGCAACGTCACGTGAGCATGTACGTTAACCACGATAGAAACGATATTCAAAAATCTCTACCGGTTGACAAATTTCTACCAGTTAATCGTGTCTACCGGTATATCGCCCACCCTAGGACTGGGTGATCCTAATATTTTCAGCCTCATCATATGATAGTAACTGATATAATCTCAATATTTACATATTTACAATCTCATGCTGTTCCAAAACCACATGGCTTTCCCTCTTCTATGGAATAAAAAACGTAAACTTCTAAGGAATATCCTGGCCACTTTTCCATGTAATGAAAGGCTGACTGGGAACTGCAACCTTTAAAATGAGATAAAAGGCACCATAAAAGTATAACAAAGCTTTAAATCAGAGATGCTATCAAAACATTTCTTTGCCCTCATACTTCCGAGTCACTGAGTCACAAGACAAGGAGGGATAGTGAAACTAAGTTCATGACACAGATTTGTTCATGACAGAATACTAGCTTACTGCATTCCACATAATATAAACCACGCAACCATTTCAGATAGTACATTACATTACATACACTACCATGTTTTTTTTCCTTTTGGAAAGAAATACTATTTTTATTCACAAGTATTAAAAAAGTAAATAAATAAATGAATAAATAAACAAATGTTACATTTTAAAATATAATCAAATATTAAGCCGATTTTAAATTGTAATAATAATAATTCACAATTTCACTTATTTTTTTAACTGTATTTTTGATCAAATAAACACAGCTTTGGTAAGCATTAGGCCTAGAGACTTCTTTCTTAACATTAAAAAAGAAATTTTGCTGATCTAAAACATTTGAACAGTAGTTAGGGTTAAGTTTAAACCTGAGTGGTGTAGACGTTTAATGAAACCGATCACAAATCACAGCAGTCAAACAGAAATGGAAGGTCAAGTTAAATACAATGTATTATGAGACACAGAATGCTAGGTTGTATTTTGGACATTTGACAAATAATCGGTCATCTAGGTATGCAAGGCATACATAAAAGTTGCATACTATGAACAGAACACAATACATACTACAGAAACAGTAAGAATAGTATTACATTATTCTATTCTAAACCTCTAGAAAAAAGTAACAACCAAGTAAAAGTTGCATTAAAATCATTGTCACATCCATAATGCTGCTTAACTGTATACTGCAAATATATATTCCGAATATTCAATATATCCCCTGGCCCTAGTCAGAAATACACAGCGAAAAACAAATATCTGGAGATGCAGTGGTAAACAATTCCAGAGCAGGAGGATAGACCTGCTAGTGCTTGGTGACAGCAAAAAATACATCTCAAATTAAAAGCCAAGCACACTGCTGGGTCCTCCACATTACTACAACATATAAATATAAATCTCTACAATATCAGAGGCTATTGTGAGTTACTGGGCAATATCCTGCATAATGGTGAGAGAAGTCAAAATACTGCAATGCTAAGCAGAATTTTTACAGGCAACACAGGGCCATAGGTGTGGTCATATTGTTGAAAGGAAAATTAACATGGCTATTATGGTATGGTTGTAATATGGTTATTACAAGGCCCTTTTCTGGTGAAATCAACACAATACTAAAGGCATTGTGTGCAAATGGGATCACAGAATAGTTGGCAAAAGCACAATGCAGCTGAAATACGGCTCATCAATTTTCATGCGAGTAGAAAATAAAAGGCAAATTACTTCCAGATATGTAAGCAAGCTGCTCGCATTTGCATAAAATATTGGGCTGTGAGCGAGGAGTGTGTTTGAGTATGCGAGCAGTTTGCCAGAAGGCAGCCTTATCTTAAACGTGTGCTGTTCCTTCTGCTATACACACACAGAAGACTTTTCCACACTATAATCTACATACAAAAGCTAACAGAGTGGCAAAACTGTCAATGTAATTAATAATTTCCATTGAGAATTTCATTAACATGCTATTATAATGAATTAAACAGGTGAATAATTCAGTTATCAACTAACAAGACATACTCTGTGAACGAACAACTTTTTGTGTGCCTCTCTGCAACTGTAGGACATGTCATTTTACTAGTCGTCTGGAAGCATCTAGTATTACTTTTGCATGCTCTGTCCCTTCTGTTAAATGAGATAAATGGTGGGAAAGTGGCCACACCTCTCGTCCACTCATGTTACAGCGGGATAACACCCACTGCGTGTCCTCCAACTGCTGCCGATTCACCTGAACAAGCAACTCAAACAGTCTGGAATCACAACCACACCCAAACAATAATGGCAGGTTTGGCTCAACATGTTCATCTTTCCCATCACAGAGGGGAATCCCATCCATTTCTAACATCAGCTTCATTGTGTTCTGCTCATAATACAGCAATTTTCTGAAGATATGAGACCATGAAAACAGTAATAAAATGTAATAAATGTATCAAACATATCAATTTTAAGAGACAAAGAACTGAAAAAAGAGAACTATTTCCAAAAACAGCAGGAAACTCTGTCAATGAATAAGTCATTAAAGTTCAGAAATTAGTAAAATAAAAAACTACATATATATATATTAGGGCTGGGTTTTGACACAAATTTCACGATTCGATTCGATTCTCATTCACAAGCTTGCGATTTGATTCAATTACCGATTCGATTCAATATCGATAATTTTTTTATTTATATCAGGTACAGTACATGCCAAATTTTCTCAAGGAAAAAAATCTCTCAACTAATGCTGTAAAATATACATGAGAGTCAGTTGGTACTACATTACTATAATATTGAAGGTTAAAATTGACTGATTTGTTAAAATTACAATTAATGAAGTTTTTAAAATTATAAAGTTACAATTACATAATAATATTTCTACTTCAATTAATTTGTTTGAAATATAAACAATGGTGGCTGTCATAAAAACTTGATGGATTTATTCAAACATAAATTAAACATTGAAGAACAGTAAAATTTATAATGAATATGTTATATGGTGCATATATTTATCAAAATGCCCCCTCTACAGTTTATTTTTCTATCTGACTAATGAGTTTATGGTCACCGAATATGTTTTTTTCTGAGGTAAATGTGACGTTACGTGACACATTGTTTACAAGGTGTTATATTGACGTCTTTGCCCGGCTGAAACACTGATTGAGCGTTTACATGAGACCGGATACGGCTTGTAAAGTTATACTCTTTCTTTTAACTTACCTTCAGATGTTTAGTCATGTTTATTTTGTGCTGAAACTGGTATTAATGTGGAGGAGACCAGTTCACGTGCGCCTCGTGCTGCCGCTTTTATTGAACTGAGGCACTACAGCGATCTGTCACTCCACATTAAATAGCGCCAAAACGGCATTTATTGTTTGAATACTGCAATACAATGGACAGAATTTCGGTTCGGCATGCACTAGGACCGCGGTTCAACTTAAATCTGTTGCTATCTAGGTTTAAACTAAACTAATTTAAGCTCACTTAAAACATTTAAGAGCCAGAAGACACGAGCTCGTGTCAGCACTTTCTTAAAGGGGTCATATGATGTCGCTAAAAAGAACATTATTTTGTGTATTTGGTGTAATGAAATGTGTTTATGCAGTTTA